TAAAAATATGAAATTATTGTTAATTACATTAAAAACAATAGGACATTAGATAGCACACAACAATATTCTTTAGGTGATTAGGCATCACATTATCTTTCTTCCCCAAATTGTTAGAAACCCTTAGAATCTTCCTCCCACCTTTAAGAAGAATATGTTATTACTGTATACAAATACTTGTACTGTCTTGGTTTTCAAATGTTTCCAAATCTCAAACTTATAAGTTTGCATCTCCCATCTGTAAAAGGTGAGTAAAACAGAGATCACTTGTCATCTATCTAATGTAGGTTTGTGACTCTATGTTTACTGGTATGACTTCTTTGCAATAAGAGCAGGAACTTTAATCATATAAACCTAAAATCTGTGCTCATAAAAATAAGATGACTGCTCTCTTATTTTCTCTCCATTATCCATGACTGCAGGGGGGAAATTTGGGCAACACCATTTGTGGTGCTTCTATGAACACTCATTGAATAGGTGAATTCTGTATTATCTGTATGGGCAGTGAATTTGATCTATAACATACCTACAATCTTATAGAAATATGCTAGGTTACAATGGTGGTTTACTGTGCTAAAATATATTAGAAACCTAGTATCAGAGTAATACCAATCATCCATATTTCTTTTTCTTTATCATCAGAGGCTGCATCCGTAAAATTAAAACAAACAAACAAAACAACTGGAAGGAGTGCCAAAGGTTGTTGGTTTTGGTCATTCCTGTGTTACCCTCTATCTCTTAGGAACCATCGTCCATTGTCTTTTTGCTGCTATTGAACGCTTGGATAAATAACTGAATTATTCCCTTTGTGTAGGCCTAAGTAAATGGATTCCCTATACTTTGAGCTATAAATTATGGTTAAAAAAAAAAAAAGAAAACAACAACAACAAAAACTCCAACTCTATAGAGTGAAGAAGGATCTTACAATGAAATCTAGATTTTCAAGTTCAATAGTTGTTGGTTTTTAATGGGAAGTCATGGTTTATTAAGTACTGATTTTTTCTGAGATGTGCTTGTACTAAATGGGAAAGGTTGAAAGACAGAAGTGAAGAAATCTACCATTGGCAGAAATTTAACAACACAGTAGCGTAAAAGGCATTGCTTGGTTTAGGATTTGATAGCATTTAATATAACTGGTAATATTTCCTAATACTTAAATCAGCAGAAGTTTGTCAGTATAGGATTCTGATGTGCAAACAATAAGCTTCCAATTGGTACCTGTTCAGTGTTACTTTGTATTCATTTATTACTATCCATTAGCATTTGTTTAATGTTACTTTGCATCCATTCTTCCCTTAAAAGTTTAATGCCTTGTCAATAACTGTATTACCTGGGCCACAGAGTCCTCTAAATATTTGTCTCGTTTGTAGGAATATTTGACCATCTTTCTTCATCTCAAGGTAGTGTCTTTTCTTTCTTTCTTTTTTTTTTTTTTTAGATTATTTATTTATTTATTTGACAGACAGAAATCAGAAATAGGCAGAGAGGCAGGCAGAGAGAGAGGAGGAAGCAGTCTCCCTGCTGAGCAGAGAGTCCGAAGCGGGGCTCGATCCCAGGACCCTGGGATCATGACCTGAGCCAAAGGCAGAGGCTTTAACCCACTGAGCCACCCAGGTGCTCCAAGGTAGTGTCTTTTCTATGGTTCTTTCTATAATGGCCTCTCTGTGCTGCATTAGTTTAAAAATACTGAATGTGAACACTGACGTAAAAATCTTCACATGCGCCCTTAACCATTCTCCTGGGAATTGCTTTCTTTTTCTTATTCCCATCTTCTGAAAATATTCCCCAAGGACAGAGATAGTTGAAGCTTTCTGTCCATTTGTTTTTAACTTTGACTCTCTCTGGCACACATCTGTGTGTGCTTAAAAGTGTACTGCCTCAAATCACAAGTATTTCTGATTCTGACTCACACTATACATCTCAGAGATAGGTCTTATCTTTCTTCTGGCATGTAAATAAATAAGGCCTGTTGTCATTGTTTTTTTTTTAGTTTCTTTCTTTTTTTTTTTTTTTTTAAGATTTTATTTATTTATTTGACAGACAGAGATCACAAGTAGGCAGAGAGGCAGGCAGAGAGAGAGAGGAGGAAGCAGGCTCCCTGCAGAGCAGTAGAGCCGGATGTGGGGCTCGATCCCAGGACACTGGGATCATGACCTGAGCCGAAGGCAGAGGCTTTAACCCACTGAGCCACCCAGGTGCCCCTGTATTCAATTTTCGTTGCCGGATACAAAAAAACCCAGAAAATTAGTCATTGCCTTTAACTTTTTCTTTTTTTTTTGCCAAGGAGAACTATTTTTTCTTTCTAGAGTCTCTCTGTGTGTGTTTGTATATAAGAGAAAAACAAAACATTTTACTTACATTTTTTTTACTCATAAGACAAAAATGTTGAAGAAATTAGATTTGATTTACTGAAATTTTTTTTTCACAAAATGCTTATATATACATACAAAAATATGCTTACAGAAAAATGCAACAAAACTTAAATTTTATGCTACCATATGCATAGTATAACCTAAAACCAAGAAGGAGTAAGAGGGAACATTTCATGGGCATTAGGTTCATATTGTTCTTTGTCCATTTCTAATAAAGGAACAAATTAAACATTTATATATAGTAACAATTGAGAGCTAGAAGACATCATAAATTGGTCATGAGCAAAAGTCAGAACTAAATATTTTGGATTAAACTTTCTTCTAAAAATGATTAATACAGACATCTGATCTTCATTAATCTTCCTTATTAGATTATTTTCTCTTAAATGAATAATAGATACTGATTTCTGACTTCTTGCTATGGAGCCCCAAAATACAAGTTTTATTATCAATCCTTATGTTTCATAAACATTTTGTCTGGAATAGCAAATTTTGGTGAATAAGCAAAATTTTATCCCAATTAATGGAATATGATCTGGTTTTAATGGAATTTTTCAAAATAACTGAACGGAGCTGAAACAATGCATTGTACAAGGCTATGGCTAACCCAATAGACACGTAATGCTATGTTGTGAAAATGATCTCGTTTTAGTTACCATACATAAGAAATACAAGCCACACTTGGAATATCCTCATTAGAAAGGTTTAGGATAATAAAGCATTTAATAGCAAACCTCACAATAGAATACTACGCAATGATTTAGGCTTACAGTTGATAACCAGCACTTTCAGAAAGACCTGTAGAAGCAGTATCTTTCTTCATCAACTTCGGGTATTAGAGAACACAGTGCTTCATCCGAGGAACCCAAAGAAATTGAGATTTGGCTCAAAGGCCAACAAATAATGAAGGCTGACTTACCTTCTTGAAGTTTATTACATTCCTTTTGCTCTTTAAGCTCTTCCTCTTAGAGATATAAATTGGAAACGGTGTACTTTCTTAGTAGGAAGTCTGAAGTCATTACTGAAATAATTGACAGAATATAATACAATATTTTTATGTAGGGAGGCTATTATGATACCAACATATCACATAGACAGTAATGGGCATCTAATTCTGCTATTCGTAATCCCCATGCTGCGAAAGAAAATCTGCTTTTGAATCATTAAAAATTGAAGCAAAAAATGATGGCTTGACCATTTGGTTATCTAAATTTGGACTGGAAGGCCATCTTCAGTTACATAAAATATCCTTCCCATGCTCTAGTTCTCAATCCCATTACATCCACTTCATTTCTCATTTGCCAGCTCCCGTGGCCACACTCTTTATGCTTAGCAAAAAACAAACCAAGTTAAGTCTCTGTGGGGTGCCTTTTGTGAGGCCACTCAGAATAGGAAGAAAGAAGCAGAGTGCAAGCTGGAGATATAGAGAATATAAAGAAAACAAATAAGGCACAAAAAAGGAGGAGGAAGGGAGAAGAAAACATCACGGGGTCAAGAATCATGAAATCACATACACTTTAACATTTTTGCCAGTAAGTACTATGAGTGTTCTCCGTTTGGGGAGGCTGCCCTCAGAAAGCTGGAAAATCAATTCTGAATTAATAAGGGTCTTTTTCCTTTCACAAGGTCCTGGTGAAACTAAAAAAGGAGCTAATTAAAAATCTTACTGCCATCCCATAATTACAGGTTTTATCCATATGCAGGATGGTCATTTTTTCCCATCAGGAATGGTATTCTTTTCACTTCCTGCCAAAAGTGCTCCAATACATAACTATAGGGAGTTTAAGAATTTAAGATTTTCAAGGAAACCTTTCCACCACTGGCACACCATTTCCTTCTGGAAGGAGGCCTGTGCCCTAGGGAGAGGCCTAATCCAAGACCGTTCTGCTCTTTTTAGAAGGGCTGAGCTCGCCCCACCATTGCTTTTCCTGGGGGTGGAGGTGAAACTGGTCTGATATGGCTGCTCCCTAGCTCATACCCCCCACCTTTCATCCCTCCTCTGCCTTTCAAGTCCATTTCGCAAATTGCCACCTGTTCCTGCTGCCACCCTTTTCGTGCTTTCACACTGACCAAGGGAACTCACTCACTCCTGCAGCAGCCCTGTCAAGGCAAGGCAGCCCAGTGGCCAAAGCAGGGCGTTTTGAACCTTTTGGAGGTAGTCTCACTAGGATGTTAAAAAGCCCTTGGCAGCTTTTTTTAACTCCTTCTCCTGGAAGGAGAATTCGTCCCTTCACCACTCCGTCCTACCGAACGGCAGGTCTGGAAAGCTTTTACAGCCTCAGGTCCTCCTCTGACAGTCCTCAGCCCGGGCCCTGAGGCTTGGTCCTCGCCAGGTGAGCCCTACTTGGGCGTGGGGCCGCTGGCACGACTGCCATTCTGCCATGCCAGAGGCTCTAGCCTCTGGCACTCCGGGGCAAATAAATAGTGCCACCTGGTAGAGTCGAAAGCGGTGCTTTAAAATGCAAATACAACCCCCTTCTGCGTTTGTTGTCAAATCACTTCTCCACGATTCCTAGGCAGGCAGTGGATTCTGCGCCTGGGAGAAGGGCTGGGGGAACGTTCCTGCCTGTGCAAAAATAACCCCCGAAGACGCAAGCCAAGTACTCGGCTGGAGCTCTCCAGCCTGTGGATGCCCGCTGGGCGGCTGGCTGTCCCCCGGGAGCCCCGCAGGGCTGGGTCCGCTCCCCCGCCTCACGCCGGGCGGCGGGAGCAAGCCGACGCCGACTTTGGGAGTTCCTTTCTGCCTTGTATGGAGGGCTGCTCCCGGCCCGTCTCCGCCCGACTGCTCTGACGCCCAGCCCTCCTGCTGCCCACCCCCAGCCACCTCCCTCTGACTTGCCCGGAGAAGCCAGACGGAGCCTCTCCCTGCCACAAGTCTCTCCGCCTGCCATTCCCCCATTCCCGCATCCACCCCCACCCCCTCCCCAGCGCCGTCACCCCTCCTCCGCCCCCGCCTCCGCCTCCTCCCGCTCCCCCGGCAATCGGGGGAATAAATCAGGGAGGAAATCGGGAGGCACCGAGAGAGCGAGAGCGCGCGAGCGCCGGCGGGCTCGCCCAGGTCTGTTTCCAAAGTCGCCCTTGATGGCGGCGGAGGCGCGGCAGCCGCGGCGCGGAGCAGCGGACGCGCGCTAGTGGGTCCGCCCGCCGCCGCCCCTTCCCTCGCGCCGGGTTTCGCCCCTGCCGCCCCCCGAGCCAGTCCGCGCCCCGGCCCCGGGCGCGCCGGCTCTCCAGACGTCCGCGGTCCCGCAGAGCGGGCGCCTTCTCCTCCCGCGGTTTCCAGCACCGATCCTTCCCCCCGGCTGGGGAGGGAGGCGGGATTGATCTTCGATCTCGAAGATGGCTGCTGGCTGCCTGCTGGCCTTGACTCTGACACTTTTCCAATCTTGGCTGATCGGCCCCTCGTCGGAGGAGCCGTTCCCTTCGGCCGTCACGTAAGTCGGCGGGCCGGGGAGGGCCGGGAGTGCGGGCCGAGGGGTGCCGCGGGAGCTGGGCGCGGGGACGGCTCCCGACTCGCGGGGCTTTTCTGCCCGTGGGGGTGGGGAGCGATCTGGGCTCGGATCTGGAGAGGCCGAGCGGGAGGTGCGCGCCGCTTGCCGCCGGAATGCGCGCCGAACCGGCGTCTCGGGCGTCTCGGTGGGGCCGGGCTGTCCCGGGAAACGTCCGCCGACGACTCGCGGCGCCTCAACCCGTCTCGGAAAGGATTCTTTAGACTTAAAGAGTTTAGCTGTACTGGGGAGAAAAAAGTTTCCAGCCAGATATCCGCTGTCCTCAAACCCAGTCCAGAAAAAGAAAGAAAGAAAAAAAAAAAAAAAGTTGTGTTTGCTTGGGTGTTTTACAAATAGGTGATTTCACGCTTGCCAGGGTAGCATGGACTTCTCCCGCGCATGGCCCCGGGGGATGCTCTCTAATTGCTGTAGTGCCCAAACTCATTTAGATCCCAAATTACTGGGCGCACTTGACAGTCTCATCCGAGGAGTGCTCGCTCGAAGCAGCTTCGAGTGCTCTCCACTCCCGGGGCTCGCAGGTACCGGGACCACGCCATCCAACCTCCTCATCCTTCATCTGGAGCATCTAAGTGCTGGCAGACCCACCGTTCCCGTTCTTAGAATGAATAGAACCTATTCTGTGAGGGAGGGATGAACGTTTCCAGAGTCGCCTGCAATTTTTTTCTTATTTTTCACATTTCTAAAATAACTTAAAAAATTCTCAGCTGTTCTGGAAAATAGAGTTTTTAAAGGTAACTGTATAAGTCACACGGCAGGAAGGGAATGAAAAATAATTCTCTTTTCTCTTAGGCTGGAAAAAAAGAAGCAAAGTCAGTAGCTCATAAAAATATATACACGTTTTTTAAATGCGCTGAAGAGCCTATCGGGCATTTTGGGAAAGCATTTATTTTGGTCCTTAAAGCTACTTTAAATCTTCTAAGAGTAGGTGATCTTAAATGGATGAGTCACTTTAATGCATTTTACATAACAAAAACAAAGCCCAAGGTAGCCTTCCCGGTATTTCTGCTGTTGGGAATTATTTGCTGTCCTTTGTTGGCTGCGTGCTCAATACTGGAGTTTTGGGTGGATGCTAACAGTGAACCTTTACCAGTTGAAACCCTGCAGCGTTATTTAAGATGCAACTTAAAGTATTTATTACATTAGGTGTCAGTGCAAGAATCCGAAGGATGCACATTCTCACCCGGAGAAGGGGAGTGTCGAGTATTTTTTTGTCATTGATTTACGGTCATGTTCCTTTTTAGATAATCTTCCATAAAAATGATTGCAGATCATTTTTGTGATGAAACGAAAGGGTAAATGCCATCTGTAGATCTTTCTTTAATTGGCAGGATGTTCCAAGTGGATATTTTGAAATATATAGGCTAAGAATTACTCTAAAGATGCTTCAAAATTACTCACTCTTATTAGGAAATTACACCTTTATTGATTGAATTCTTTATTCTTTTTGTAGCTTGGCCTATAGAGCGAGAACTCAAGTGACTCGCTTGCATTTGTATCAAATGAAGAAGTGGCTCTTTAAAAAGGAGGCGGTGTGTGCAGTTTACATATTTTTAACTTGTCATTTTTAACGGACAATTTATCAGTATTTCTTTCATTTGGAGGGAATGCATCATTCACCCCACTGGGTGAAACTGTGACTTTTTAAAGATACAACAAAATACAACCTTTTATTCCTGAACATGCCATTGTAAAATATTAATGTACAGATCCTTACTGTGAGGACATCTGCAAAAAATGCTCTCCTAAAATTAAAATAGCTTAGTGTTTATGGTCAGAGATTCACTAGAGACAAGAAAGAAAATAAATAGTGGAGAAAAATAGGAATTGGGAAACCACAATTTCTTTCCTTTGAAACGATATAAAATTTTATTTTTTAAGAGTGGGCATTTAAGGTATTTTCAAATAATATGAAACATTAATAATTTTGTAGAGTGAAAGCTTAATAAAAGAGTTTGTAGAGCTAAGTCAGTCTCCTGTAGGTAACATTAACGCTATTTGTGTAAGTCTTGTGTGCCTTCAGTCATTTATTTCCAAAGTTAAAGTACCGTCTTCTGAGGAGAGGAGAAATGATAGTTGATATTTGTACTTCTAGTTAGGTTTCTGAATAAACTTTATGAAATTTTAAGAAGTGCAGTGTTAATTTTATCAAGGTGTGCCATTTGCTTTTCTGGCAAGAAAAGAATTGGTATCGAGTGTTTATCATGATAAATCTCAAATCTTGGGAAAAAATTTCAAGCTTATAAAAACTCAGTACAAAGTTTATAGTATCATTAAAGGCAAACTATTACATTCTTTATATAAATTTCTCTGGAAATCATTAATAAATTCTTTTTTTTTTTTGACAATTTTATTTTTCCCCAGAAAAAGCAATATCAGTAGTTTTAGAAGGAGAGCATGCCATCAACACAGTATAAAATTAATTGTGCACTCACTGGAGTGAATCCTGAATTAGAATTACTAATACAAAGCTTTAATTTTTTTAAGTAGTGTTTACAGTAATATTAAAGGTTTAAGTTTTATTATAATAAAACAAATGTGTCATTTTAAATTTCTTTTTAAAATTTTCCTGCTTTAGCATATATCCTCATACAGCATATTCTTCTGGATTTAAGTATAGTTAAACTGTTCTAAGACCTAACACTAAAATAACAAGCTTCCCCTCCAACCAAGAAAGGAATTTTGATACAGTTCTTTTGCTAGGTTAGGCTTTTCTTTTGGAAATGATTGTCTCAATAAAGTGTGAATCATAAATATGCCAGATGGTATCAACCACCTAATGCATATTAGTTTATATATAAATGGAAATCACATCATTTTCATGTTATATAGTATGCACACGTTATATTGGTAGTTTAAGACAGAGTTTTCAAATAAGGAGTGCTTGCTTGTTCTAGAAATAATTTCTTAGCACGTAAATGAAAATACTTCTGTTTTAAAACTCAGAATAATATGTATGTTAGCCAGTATTGTAATGTTAACTTAACTCTGTTGCTCTTTATTTTACAATCTATTTACAGATCCAGGTTTTAAAAAAAAAATCACTGTAGTTATAACTACTACTAAGGTTAAACTTCTAAGTCATATCATAACACCAATCAGTCAGAATAATTGGCTGAAAGCCCATTGTTATATGGGGATTTTAATATAAACTGTGTAATAGGATACATATATTAATAAGAATTATAGGTATCTACAGGAAATAGATATATCTCATGAAAGAATAGCACTTTGGGGTTTAAATACTTCAGATATAAATATTTTTTTTCTGTTATTAGACAAATTTATATTTAAAGGCTATAGAAAATAAGTTTATGTCATAACATTGGAATGGGTATCTTTTTCACGTGTTAGAAGTGACATAATTATTTTCATTGGGCTTAACAATTTCTGTTCACATACTACATGTATAAGGAAATGTGCCTTAAGCTAAAATATGAGGTAAAAAGTGTAAATTAGAACCCAAGAACAATGACATTAATAAATCCCTTTCTCAGGTCTTCAATTTGTTCTCATAAGCTTAACTATAAGACAACATCTATTATTCCACAGGTGTATATTTAAAAGATGCAACAGTAGGTATGTTTTTCAGATAAGTAGCAACATGGCATCTTAATATTTATACATGGATATATGTGTAGCTATTTGGATTGGCATTTGAATGAACATTAAGCAGAGTGTAATGGAAGTGATCTAAAAAGCATTTTGGAAAGGTATAAGAATCTAAGCTTATTATGGCTTGTAAAAAGGAAATAAAACATGTTTATTATTTTAGTATGGCTTTTACTAGTTTAATTATAATTTAATAAGTGCGTCTAAAATAAAAATCTATAGCAAGTTGTTCATTCTGAAAATAGAAACTTTACCACTCTTCTTCAAAGAAACCTGGCTGTACAGACACTTTTCTATTATTTCTCCAACATTGATTTAAAAAAAAAATAAAATGCTTTTCATTCTCGGATTTATACATTGTAAGGTTTTGCAAAAATATACATAGCACACGCAAATTAGGTATTCACATTTACTGTTTAGATTTATAACTATATGTAAGAAAAAACAATGCTTTTAGGAATTTTTAAAGAGTTAAAAATTGTACCCATAACAAGGTATTATTTAATTGATATGTTTTCTGGAATATCATTCTATAAAACACATACACAGAAGTTTCTGTTCTTTTCCCTGTTTTTTAATACGGATACAGATTTCCAGGAAAGTAATCTGTTCTTCTTAATGCACATCTTATTTTCTAATAAATGTCTTTGAACTGTTTGTAAACTTCAACTAGAGACTTAAATGGTTAAAATAAAGTGAAGTATATTTTAGGGAAATCATCTGATTTGTTGATTTCCTTCAGTCTTTTACTTGTATAGACATAATCAGTTCCAACATAAACATACTTGATAAGAGTTTGAAAAAAAGTCAGAATTTGTTTCAGTATTTCTAAAAAAGTAACATTTTGTTATTACTAAAGTGTTAGACTTCCATCATTTGTAGTAGTAGTGTTGTAGTATTTCAGAAAAGCGTGTAAGCTGTTCACCGTGGGGAAGGAGCTCTGTTCTATCACATCCGTCCTCATTTACTTAAGGCTCATAGTGTGCATCAGACACTGTGTCACACAGTGTCAGCCACTTTTTCTTTTCATGGGTTGTTTATGTCTAGTACCATGAACGTCCCCAAGCCTTTCAAAGGATTGTTTTCCAGTAAACTTTGAACTGTATCAAGATGGTCAACCATGTAGCTTATTTATGATTTATTGTGTGTGTGTGTGTATCCCAAATGATGAAACTCATTGTGTCATATTGTTGACAGATTTGAAAGAAAAAGGCAATTGACTTCAGTGTTAATTGAAATAAAATTGGTAGTACTTTGTAAAAATAATGTATTTACCTTTTCCTTCAGGGTCTAAAATATTAACATTGCATACATAG